AAATAATTATAGGACAGATAAGAACAACTATTGAGACAGTCACTTCAAACTTAGCCACAAAAATAATCATGATAAATATAATCTCTTCAGACATTTCAGTGAAAGAACTGACATTAGAATGAATAAATAAATAAAATCAATTATTCTTATTTTTATACACATATGAAAAGTTTATGTGACTTTAAACAAAAAGTCACAAATAAAATAAACAGATGAAAATATACACTGTATAAGCACTAATCAAATCAAAACTGGAGTCATTGTTAATAGCAGAAAAAGTAGATTTCATAACAAGGTTGTATGTTACCAGGAATTATGAAACAGGAAAAGCATTTCAAAAAATATAATCCTGTTCATGTTTCTAAGTCTTAATAAACAAGGGTTAGAGGTACATTTTATTGTGCTTCTGACTTAGAGTGCCTACAAAAAACTGCAGTGAATATCATACTTCATGACGAACAATCCAATATTTTCCACTTAAGATTATGAGCAAGTCAAGGTTGCTCATTTTTTTATTATATTTTTAGGATGTTTGTTTCCATAACATGTATTGAACAGTTTGCCAGTAATCCCTAGCAGGTTGTGACGGTTAATCTTATGTGTCAACTTGATTGGGCTAAGGGAGGCCTTTATTAGCTGATAAAATACATTTTCTTAGTGTGTCTGTGAGGGTCCTTGTGTAAGAAGTTAGCATGTTAATGAGTAGACTGAGCAAAGATTACTGTTACCAGTGTGGCTGGGCACCGACCTGTCAGCTGAGGGCCCAGCTAGAACAAGCAAGCGGGTGGAGGAAGCACACAGGCTCTCTGTGCCCACACCAGGGACTTCCACTTTATCCAGCCCTGCTACATACACATTCTGGCCCTCTTGCCTTGGGGCTTGGCCAGAGGTACACAGCCAGCTCCCTGGCCCTCGGACTCAGGGTAGGACTTACACGATTGGCTACTCTGGTTGTCTGACCTTCGAGCTTGGACTAGAGTCACATCATCAGCTTTCCTAGTTCTCTAGCCTACAGACCAACTGTGGGTTTCTCATCTTCCATAGTCATGGGAGCCAATCCTTTCTAATATATTTCTGTATACTTATAGATATCCTGTTGGGTCTGCTTCTCTGAAGAACCCTGAGTAATTCACAGAAGGATTTTACACACACACACACACACACACACACTCATGCGTATACAATTGCAGACAGCACAATGGTTGTTACGAGGTGACTTGTGCTTCTCTCAAATTCATATGTGGAAGCCCTAACTTCCAGCACCTCAAAATGTGAATGAGGCTATTAGGATAGGCCCTGTTCCAATGTGAATGGCGTCTTTATAATGAAAGAAAATTTGGACACGCGAAGAGACATCAGGGGCGCACCTGTATGGAGGAAAAACCACCTGAGGGCACAGAGGGAAGACGGCCATGCTCCAGTCAAGGAGAGAAGCCTCAGGAGAAACCAGCTCTGCTCCATCCTGATCTCGGACTTCTGACCCCCAAAAGTGCGGGTGATGCTTTTCTGCTGTTGAACTACTCAGTCTGTGGTATTTTATTAGCAAACTAATGCAATGATATAGTTTAATTAAAAACCTGAAAATATTTTAAAATAAATATATTAGAACTACTAAATAAGTTTTCTAAGATCATAGGGTACAAGATTAATATATAAAAATCAACTTTATTTCTACATACCAGCTACAAACAATTAAAAAATTTAGACTGAAATGTAATACCCTTACAATATCCAATATAAAACACAAAATCACAAATTCTTAGGGATAATTTAGCAAAATACTTTTAATGCTTGTGTAATGAAAACTTTAAAGCATGGATAATGAAAACTAAAGAATTAAATAAATGGAGAGATATGGCATGCTTCTGGATCCAAAGACTTAATATTCTAAGTCAGTTCTCCCTCAAGTTGGTTAACAGATTCACTGTAATCCCAGCTTTTATTTCATAAGTTCTGTGTAAATTGACATGCTCATTCTAAAATTTATATGGAAATGTAAAAGGTCTTGCATAGCCACAACAATTTTAAAAAAGCAAAACAGAGTAGGAAGCATTATACAAAGCTACAGTATTCAAAAGAGTGTCCTGCTTGTGTAAGGATAGTACATGACACAAAACAAAGTCGAGATGAAGACCCCTATGGATGTGGCTGATTCGTTTTGACAAAGGAGTAAGGCAAAATTCAATAGGCTAGTCTTTTAAGTATATGATGCCAGAACTAATGACTATTCATATGGCAAATATCAGCCTTGAGCCTTACTCTCTATCTTTTTTTTTTTTAAAGATTTATTTATTTGAGAGTTAGAGTTACACAGAGAGCGAAGGAGAGGCAAAGACAGAGGTCTTCCATCTGTTGGTTCACTCGCCAGTTGGCAGCAACAGCTGGAGCTGTGCTGATCCAAAGCCATGAGCAAGGAGCTTCTCTAGGTCTCCCACATGGGTGCAGGGGCCCAAGGACTTGAATCATCTTCTACTGCTATCTCAGGCCATAGCAGAGAGCTGGATTGGATGTGGAACAGCCAGGACTTGAACCGGCATCCATATGGGATGCTGGCACTGCAGGCTGTGGCTTTACCCACTACGTCACAGTGCCAGCCCCACATAAACATTCTTTTTTTAAAATATTTATTTATTTATTTATTTGAAAGTCAGAGTTGCAAAGAGAGAGGAGAGGCAGAGAGAGAGAGAGAGAGAAGTCTTCCATCCCATGGTTCACTCGCAAGATGGCCGCAATGGCCGTAGCTGTGCCAATCTGAAGCCAAGAGTCAAGAGTTTCCTCCGGGTCCCCCACGTGGGTTCTGGGGACCAAGGACTTGGGCCATCTTCCACTGCTTTCCCAGACCATAGCAGAGAGCTGGATTGGAAGAGGAGCAGCCGGGACTAGAACTGGCACCCATATGGGATGCCGGCGCTTTAGGCCAGGGCGTCAACCCACTGTGCCACAGCGCCGGCCCCCACATAAACATTTTTAACATAAAAGTTTAAACTATGAAACTTCTAGAGGAGAAAAAGAAAAAAAATCTTTGCAACTTTGATAAGCAAAGCTGTATTTTGACAAAGAAAATATGAAAGAGTGATGACTTAGACTGAATCAAAATACAATCTCCTGAAAAGCTACTATTAAAGAAGTCAGGACATGGATTGAGAAAGAATACTTGTGATAGTGTATAAGACAAAAGACTTGTATTTAGAATATATAAGGAACATTTGCAGCTTCAAAATAAAAATAAACATAGTCCAATAAGAAATGGCAAAATGTTTTATCCACTTTGCAAAGAAGACATAGCACAAGCATTTAGCCCAACAGACAGATGCTGGCTTCTCATATTGTAGTGCCTGGGTTTGAGGCTCAGTTCTGTTCCTAATTCCAGCTTTCTGCTAATATGGGCCCTGGGACATAGAAAGTGATGATGGCTTGAGTAGCTGAATCTGTAGCACTCATGTGGGAGGTCTAGGTTGAATTTCTGGCTTCCAGTGGGCATTTGGTGAGTGAACCAGTGGATGGGAGCTTGCTCTTGCTCTTTCTCTATCTCTCAAATTATATTTAAAAAAAAGAATACACCTAAGTGGCCAACAAGCACATGAAAATATACTTAATAGAATTACACATCAGAAAAACAATTAAAATTACAATGACATTCCACTACATATTTACCAAAATAGAAAAAAAAATGACTACATGAAGTGCTGACAATAATGTGGCACAATTGAAACTCTTATACCTTGCTGGTACAACCAATTTGCAAAAACAGTCTGGCAGTTTTTTTAAATAAAGTTACACATATGCTGTACAACTCAGTAATCCCTTTTCAAGAGAAATGAAAACACACAAGATTTGTACAGGATGGTTCATAGATACTTAAATCATGATAGTTCCAAACTTGTGGATTGTCTACTTGTATGTAAGATGTACATATTACATGCCCTTGAGCAGTCTTGACTAGCACTTTCTGCAAAGAGCACTACACACACACACACACACATGTGCACACACAGATTTACACACACACAAGCTCTGCACACATGTACACACTCACACTGCAATCTCAATATGACTGGTTGCAGGAGGTTTGTTACATATGACAGTGAAGAAAATAAACTACTACTAATATGTGCAACAACACAGAGGACTCTCAAGCGCATTATGCCATATGAGAGATGCTGGATAAAAGAATGCATACTCCATCTTTCATTTATAAGAAGTTCAATAACTGATCAATCTAATCTATAACAGAAGTCATTAGCTGTCTAGAGCAAGAGGTAGAGAAATTGACTGGAACAAATGGGAACTTGAGGGTGATGGAAATGGTATATAATGATACTTCAAAATACTCATGGAAAGTGTAATTAAAGCATGTATTTATTTATTTGAAAGAGTTACAGAGACAGGTAGAGACAGAGAGAGAGGTCTTCTATCCACTGGTTTACTCCCCAAATGGCCACAATGGCTGGAGCTGAGCTGATCTGAAGCCAGGAGCCAGGAGCCAGGAGCCAGGAGCCAGGAGCCAGGAGCTTCTTCCAGGTCTCTCACATGGGTTCAGGGTCCCAAGCACCTGGGCCATCCTCTGTTGCTTTCCCACGCACACTAGCAGGGAGCTGGATCAGAAGTGGAGCAGTTGGGACTCGACCTGGTGCCCATATGGGATGCTGGCGTTGCTGGCTAAGGCTTTAACCTGCTGAACACTAGCGCTGGCCCTGGAAGTGTAATTATAAGGTAGGTTTATTTTGGTGCCAAATTATTTTTTGAAATTCATGCACATGGAAAACCTCCAAAATGTTCATAAAATATGTATTATGAAAAAACCGTGCATGGAGTATTTTTTTGCCAAAATAAAATTTGTCTTTTAATTATTTCTTTTCATGAATAGTATACTTAAATTAGGTATTTTGGTTTGTGAAAATCATTGTTCACTAATGATGACAAAAATATTTTAAAATATTAATAAAATACTAAAATAAATATAATTTGATATTAAAATATTTATGTGGTGCCCTTTACAGAAACAATGCAAGAGGGACAACGCCAGGCCAGAAGACAATGCTTCTAAGCTTCAGATTAAGCCTGAGTTGTTCCAGACATTTCGTGGGAGAGTATGGATTTTGACAAATTTAGGAATGGTATGACTCTTCAAACTGTGGAGGGCTCTGTGGGGGTCGCTGGCTCCCTCGCTTCTCAATGAGAACTACACCACTGACTTTCTTGGGTCGCCATGATTGTTGAGCTCACTCTTCACAGCCCCTCTCTCTTTCTCTCATCATCTACATCTCCTGTTGTTTCTGTTTTTCTAGACAACCTTCACTGGCACAGATTATCTTTCACTTGTTTCCCTCAAACTCTACAGCTCTCTTTCATATTTCTCTCATATTCTTGTTACTTGGTTATAATGTTCTAGATTTTTGAGCAATTTCATTTTTTCACCTTTTTAACTCCAAACAACATTTTCCCTAGTTTCTTCATAAATTGTTTCAAAAAGAACCACCTATTTCTTTTCTCTCACCCTCCTCTGCTTCCTTCCCTACTTCCCACTTGTTAAGATGTTTACCAAAATGGAAAGTATGAGAAGAAAAACACAGCACAGGTTAGACAAAAGGTTGGAGAGTGGATTTCTCATCTTAGCACTTCTATAAACCAGTTGTTTTATCTTGTTACACTTGGCTAATTGCTCATTCCACAAACTTTCCCTGATTCTGGCCTCAATTTCTCCATCTGTGCAATGAGAGGATTGAGATCCATTATCTCTTCTCCCTCCTACAGGTTTTCACTGAAGGACTGGTAGAGGCCTCACAATTTTCTCATGGATGCACTGTGTCCTGAGTTAGATGACGTTCGTGTCCTGCTGGCGTCTTGAGAGTGGAGGGAAATGCATTTCAGGTACCTTCTGTGGGCTCAGGTGAAAGGCAGGCAGCCTATATGAGCTTGCCCTTGAGGAGTCATGACAATGACCACTTTCTCCAAGAACACCCCTGCCACCCGTACCCCACATGCAATCTCAGTGTGGCTGGGTGGGGGGAGTTTCATGACCCTCGTTTTGCAGTAACTACCTGAGAGAGACTAGAGGATACTCCATGATACTCCGGAACGTAGCCCAGATCCACCTCTGGAGTTTCCCTTCACCGTGTTGATTCAGGTTAGCAGACTGCGACCCCAGGACAAAATCCACACAGGCTCACTTTGACTCAACCCTTGATTTGCTGCAGCTGGGGCTCAGCACGGATAGTAACCTTTTGATAAAACAGACTTAAAAAAAAAAAGTAAGTGTATTTCCCCCATGCCTTCTTCATGAGATGATTCCATTTAGAAGAAATTTTGACTTTAATCAAATTTTGGGCATGCCTAGGACATCCTGGTGGCAATGACAGACTAGAGAGGGCCAGGCTTATCCATGATAGAGGGCAGCCATCATCCTCCACCACCAAGGTGACCCTCACCCAGGGTGAAAATCTCTTTTGAGCTCCTGATGTGTACTAAGCATTGTGGAAGAAACAACACAGAATAAGAACAAAGGCCTGGAGTCCGACTGCCTTGGTCCTAGCCCTGTTTTACCAGCTGTGTGATCATGGATAAGATACTCATGATATTCCCTAGACTTTAGTTTTATCATCAGTAAATGAGGGAGAACTAAAATATATACCTGCTAAAATTTACCTGAGATAGTGCCCATAAAACACAGAAAGCTATATTTGGAACTTGGAAAATCTGTAATAACTGTTTGCAAATATCATTATCACCAGGGGAGAGGAACTTGTAAAAATGATAGCAGGGCAGCACCCAGAGGAAGCAGCCATTATTTCTGACCAGGGTGAGGGGAATGCTTTCCAGAGGAAAGGATCTGAGACAGCTCTAGAGAATGGCTGGGCTTGGACAGAAGGGAACTGCAAAGGGCACGCTGGTGAGATGGGTCAGCAGTGCAGCTCCCACATGATCTCATCCAGGAGGCTGCCATCACCCAGACTCTAAAAATAACGAGCCCCATGCTCGCAATGGGGGTGACCACGGTGGAAGGTCGGTCAGGCAGCAGCCTGTTCATAGACTTCCTGCTGAACCTAAACAGATTTCTCAGACCAGTGACTCATCAACAAGACAAACTGGATGTACCTGTTGCATAAATCCGGTGCTTTTGGTTTATTTTTATCTTGCCTCTGTAACTCTTCTTTGTTGCATTATTCATACCCAGTGCACTGGATGAGATGGGCTCAGATACAGACTCAGACTTCCATTTTGGAATTGTTTACCTTTTATGCATTTTTGTGGCCAAGGGAATGAGTTTTATTTATTTATTTATTTATTTATTTATTTATTTAAGAAGTGGAGCCACAGACAGAGAGAGGGAGAGACAAAGATTCTCCATCTGCTGTTCACTCCCCAGAGGGTTGCAATGGTCAGAGCAGGGCCGATCTGAAGCCAGGATTCAGGAGCTTCCTCCGCGTCTCCCACATGGGTGCAAGGGTCGAGGCTCTTGGGCCATCTTCTACTGCTTTCTCAGGCCATAAGCAGAGTGTTGGATCAGAAGTGGAGCAGCCAGAACACAAACAGGTGCCCATGTGGGATGCCAGCGCCGCAGGTGGAGGCATAGCCCACTACGCCACAGTGCCAAAATATGGGGAAGAGCTTTGCCTCTGCACTCCATCCCACAGTGTGGAAGCCATTATTCCCTTTCTGTGGGTGCGTGAGTAGAATTAACATTTACTGATGTTGCATTAGGCACTTTCGTCTGTTTCTCATGTAGTCCTCACAACAACCCTTGGAAGGAGGTGTTGCTCTGTTTTGGGGGTGAGACTCACCCTGGTGAAGTGAGCTGGCCTGCATCAGCTGGAGCAAATGTGAGACGTTCTGCTTTGGGGGGACTCTCTCTAGTGGCTCTTGCTCTTGTCACAGGATGGCATGTTTTCAAGACAGCAACAGTTGGGAAGGGCAACCGTGTGTGAGAAGGCAGAGCTAGGTCTCCCTCAAGCTCATGTCCATGGTCATGGAGTATCTCATCACCAGTGCAAGATTTTCAGCCATGTCCTTGGAAGTCAAACAGGGAGAGCTTAACTCTCCACTTTGTGACAGGCTTTCACACACCTAACGGAAGTGTAGTTGTCAATACCATCCTCTCACCTGCTTTAGTATTTTCTTTCGATGGCAAAACAGTTCCCACTAGGAGGCAAAGAAAAGTAAGTGGCAGCAGTGGTGTGATTGCTTGTGTCCCTCCTAAATCCCTGTTGTAAGTTCATTGAGTAGTGGGACCTTCAGAGCTGAGATTAGTGCCTTTGTTCAAGGCTTGAGGGGAGATTGGGCTCTTCTGTCCCTTCTCCCTCACCAGGGCAGAGTCTGTCCCTTCAGGAGGATGCAAGAACGAGGTGCACTCTGGGAAACAGGGTGGACCCTCCCCAGACACAGAATCCACCTGTACCTTGACCTTGCATTTCTCAGCCTCTAGACTGAGAGCACTAAGTTTCTGATGTTTGTAAACCACCATGCTGAGGTATGCTGTTAAAGTAGCCAGAGCAGACTGAGGCGGCACTCATGTGACAACCCTCAGAGATCTGAGTGGCTGTTGAATTTACCGTATACATGAATGACATTTGTTTGTGTGAATGGGTTTTCTCAGCTACTGAATGAATAGTGACACCTGTCTTCGCCGTTTTCCATTTTATTGGACTTAAAACATCTGTATACTTCCTGCTCTGTGATGTTAATGTGAATAAAATAGGAGAACTCTTAAAAATGAGTAAATTTTCAGAATGAGTGAACCTACAATTCCCATACAAGAGTTCCATTCCTCCCACATTCCCATCTTGATAGAGACTCTTCCTCGCTATTCCTCATCAATTAGGAGAAGATTTCTGTTAGTTAAAATGCTCTTTTCTCATGAAAAAGCCAACACCACAATGGCACGGTCCCCTTTCTTCCCCCGCCTGCCTTGCTTTGACTGGTGCTGAGATTAATTGGGCCACTATCAATCTGCTAAAAGACAGCAAATCAGGAGTGGCAGGTGCAAGGAGGGAAGCATGAATATTAATTAGCTGAGATTCCAAACAGAAGCCTTTTAATTATATTAAATTGTACAGGCCTGCAGGCAGTGAGGTGGTTCCTGCTGTAAATCTGTCGACAGGCCATTACCCTGGCAACGTCAATGCGTTTTAATGAATGAATATATACATTTCAAGTGGGGGAGAGAAAAATACTTTCATGTTTATAAATATTAAAAAGAAAACTATCAATGTGAGGAGATATCTGTGACAGCTCTTCACAGGCCGGAGGTGTTTTGGGGGAGGCAAATCCCAGGCTGTGAAACTAAAGCCTGTGGCTAATATGGAGACTGATACAATTAAAAACAGGTGCCTGGAAGCTGGGGCAGCCAGAGGCTCCACTTCTCTGCAGGGCAGAGACTGAGGCACTTAAGGAAGTCACACTGACCTTTCAGGCCAACTCAGAATCCTGCACGACAGGAAACCAGGAAGTCAGGTGTCTTTCTCTGGCCCTTGTAAACATGCAGGAAATGTTGCAAGGTTGAAGGGTGGCTGGCCACCATGGAAGAAGGAGCCATAAACTGAGAAGACCTCAGAATTCCAGGCCAATAACGCAGTGAGATTTGGGAAAGCATACTTTAGCAGGTCTACGGTCACCTTGGAAAGGTCCATGGAAGAAAGAGTACATCAGGGAGAACGGGAACACGGGTGGAAAGGAAGGCTGGTCATGGGTTGCTACACAGAGGTCAGGATGCAGTGCTCAGCTCGTCCAGCCCATCCGATTCTGAGAACACGAGGAGAGCATTGCCAGGGAAGTCTCTTACCCTCCTTCCTCCCTCCTACTTAGCTATTTATCTATTCATACACCACTTCTTTCTATTGAGTATTCAAGGTTTCCCACAAGTTTCCTGATTCTAGATCTGTCCAATTTTCTAATGCTTCTGAATGTCCTAATTTTAAATAATAAAATGCATTTGAGGAACCCTGGAGTGCCATGTCCTATGAGCACCTTAGATAATCTTGAGAGTGTCAAGTCCTGGGCTTATATAAATGCAGAGAATTGAAAAAAATCTGTCCTGGTTGATGGAGATGTTAGCCAAAGACTTCATGCCTTTCTGGAGCTACTCTTGATTTATGCTTGATTTTGGAAACCCTGAGAGGAATGAGGAGAAGGGGTAGGAGAGAAAGCTGTCCAGAAGACTCCTAATAATACTTAGACCTTTCTCGTGTTGTAGCTTGATGCTGGCAGCCCGGAAGGGATGATAAGCAGAAAATAATCCTTTTAAATGCAGTTATTTTATCTTTTATTTATTTTTTTTTGACAGGTAGAGTCATAGAGAAAGAGAGACAAAGGTCTTCCTTCCATTGGTTTACTCCCCAAATGGCCACCATGGCTGGCGCTGCGCCGATCCGAAGCCAGGAGCCAGGTACTTTTCCTGGTCTCCCATGTGGGTGCAGGGGCCCAAGCACTTGGGCCGTCCTCCACTGCCCTGCAGGGCCACAGCAGAGAGCTGGGCTGGAAGAGGAGCAACCGGGACAGAATCCAGCGCCCATATGGGATGCCGGCGCCGCAGGTGGAGGATTAACCAAGTGAGCCACAGCGCCGCCCCTTAAATGCAGTTAAAAATTATTCCATGCATTTGGAAATCCAGTCAAAAGTCCTTATTATGCTACAAAGTTTTGTGTGGGTTTCTCAAAGTTAAACTCAGAAGCCATCCACAGTCATGAGTTGTTCCCCTCAGTCTGTGGGGCTGCACTCCCAGAGTGGATGTATATCTCACAGACATTTGCCTAGGAACACAGGCCAGAATATGGAGAACTTAGCAAAAGAAACTTGCGATAAAAAGAAACTCAAAGTGTGTCTCAAATGAAAAAAAAAAAAAAAAAAAAGAAAGAAACCTGAGAAGTATTGCTGTT